ATTTTTTTTAACTTTTAAGCAGTATCTAAGTAATGGGAGGTTCAAGAATGCGGATCACCAAGCCGCAGTGAACTCGACCTGCAGCCGTTTATCGGTGGCGACTTTCCAAAATCCGGCACCCAATGCCACGGTTTACCCTCTGAAAATCGAGGAAGGCGAGAAGCCGATAATGGATGAGCCAATCACGTACGCTGAGATGTACAAGCGGAAGATGAACAAGGATCTCGAGATGGCTAGGCTCAAAAAAATGGCTAGGGAGAAGTTGTTGCAAGAGGAGGAGCTTGAGAAGGCAAAAGTTGAAGTTGAAGTTAAAGTTAAATCCAAAGGTCTTGGGGAAATTCTAGCTTAGTAAAGTTTTTGTTAATTTTTTTTTATTTATTTTTTTTTTATTTTTTCCTTGAGACCAGTGTGAAGATATTGCACCATATCTTGGAGGATATGTGGGTCTGTGTGTCCTTAATATTATGTCAATTTACAATGGTATTGAAAAATTATTTATTTTGTAATAAATTGTTTGGTGAGAAAATAGAAGGCATCATGTATATAGATCAATAAAGTGTGCAAATGTGGTTGGTTGTTTCATGTATGATGTATTGATGTATGGATAAAAAGAGGACCTTTACCTCCTATTCTATACAGTACTAGCACACAATTTTTAAATTTTCTCAATTTAAGACACGATTTTTTTGTTTTTCGAAAAATTGGGCCTAATGTCATGAACTTTCAAACGATACACGGTTTTGACCACAAGCCCTAGAAAAGCTGATGTGACATTCAAAATGTCGCCACACCTGCTGAGTTATATTTACCAACCATTTATTTTTCCACCACAAACTAAAACGGCTCCGTTTCATCCCACTTTGTAAGTATTTTAACCCAGCCGATTCAGGGTCATGCTTTTTTTGAGGCCTGGCCCGGCGGGCAGGGCTTACTCGCAAAATCAACAGCAGATCCCCTATTTTCATATATTTTTATGGGACAGGTTCGGGCCAAGTCGGCCCGTCGAGTCGTGTACCCGACCCTGACCTAGGTAAGAGTCGGTTTCGGGTCACTATTTCGAGCCTAGAGACTTGTCGGGCTGGATCGGGCCTGCCAAATGGCCATGCCTATGCTCAATAAATGGAGGCTTGAGGTACATGTCAGATAGTATCCTCTCACGTTGTATTTTAGCGAGTAAATTAAGAAGGTTCGCGAATAACTCGAGCAATGAATTTTGATCATGTCGAACCGAGTATTGGACATGAAAAAATGTAAGACTAAAAGTGATTACGTGTTCACTTACGTGGGCAGAGTTGTACCACGAAAATAATCTAAGTACAAAGTTATATCCACAATGGAGTCTAAGTTATAAATTTGGACAAAAGGCGTGAAAAAAGATAATAAATGACTTGTTTAGGATTCTAGAGACTTTTTATTAAGACTTCATAAATCCCGGTGTATTTAAACTTTTTAGAGCATGTTTGTTTATGAAAATTTTCAAAAAGTTTCTAACATTTTAACTCAACTATTTTTTTTAACTCAACTTTAACTCAATCCCACTATTATCAATATAATTAAATAATATCAATCAATCATTCATACACACTACATCAACCTTAATCCACTATTCACCCACTCACATTATTTTAAATAACCATCACATCAAATCATCTCTCTCATACTTTTCATCAAATCAATTTTAATTATTTTATATTAATTATTATTTTAATATATCCACTAACAACTAACCATACCACTTTTTTTCAAAATTAACCAACCAAAAAATTCAAACAAAACAAAAATTCTATAAACAAACATGCTCTTAAGACTTCTAGAAGTCTTGAATAGATTTTGAAAAATCTTACAATATTCTGAGATATTTAATTTATTTGACACTAAAATTTGTCAAGACATTTTATGATTTGTAGGGATTTCATAAGAAAAAAAATACGTATATGAAATCTCACTCCAAATCTCACCTCCAAACTTAAGATTTAATGATTCCATCTAAATTGTAAATCTTAGGAAATATCAAATCTCAAAACGTCTCAAAATGTCACTCGAAATCTCAATCTCAAACAAAGACACTTCCGAAGAAATCTTCTAAAAGATAGTCACTGGGAAAATAAATTGTATTCATCGTGGTGATTATTTGTGATAATTAAATCAGCAATTGGAAGAACACAATGTAGTTTGTACAATGATAAGTTTAGACGGAGACCCAGAAAATTAAATCATAAAACAAGTTATTTCGTGTGGGTTATATCGGTTGACTAAGTCAATCATACACTTAATGGATACGTTTACAAAAGACACGGAACTTGATATATTGTACAAAATGATTAGAGAAATGAGTTTGAGCAAAAATCCACAACAAACAAAGCCTCTATATAGATCTAAACCACGCGGACTGAAAGGACGACTGATGGTAAACCATGACGACAAGCAGCAGCAGGGCCAACACCACCCCCCACGGCCAGCTTCCGCCGTCCGCCGTCGTGGCCCGCCACCACCACCTCCAGCGGCCCAGCAGCATCACTATCACCGCTACAATCCCCGCCAGGGGCGACAGAACGAGTCCGAGCCTGAACTTCGCCATGCCTGCCTCCATCTTCTCTTTGAAATCGGAATAAGTTGCCAATAACATTAGCATCATAAAAAGCCCTGAAAACACCATTAATGGCAAAGGGGGTAAAGAGATTGAGTCCAGTGTTTGCTCTTTCCAGCTTATTCCCCTTCTCTGTCTCATGAACCAAACCATTTTTTTTTTTTTTTTTTTTTTTT